TAGAGAGGTACTAAAAAAAATCTAAATGTGAAATGAGTAACTGCATCTTCTGTTTCTTCTCTCACTGATCTCTTTATTAGGAATTCTAGAAAGCACCAATAAAATTCATCATGTTGCATAGACATCAGTGGGCATCACCAAACTGTTCTGTAGTCCAGAAATATAGGGGGATTCTGTGAGTGGTTGCTTGGCTGGCTCTCATTCACCCTGTAGAAAGGTGAACAGTGGGGACTGGAACTCAGTGATTTCTACTAACTTGCAAAACAAGTTTGTGTCAACACTGCCTTGAGTTAGCTAGCAACTCTACACCAACTCGATGCTTTCCTACCTACATGATATATTTGAGCTCCTTGATAATTTTTCCATTCCAGTGACAGAAATCTCCTTATAAAATCTTCTCCCAACCATGAGACCTCGTCCTCCATTTTTTTTCTGCATGCATACTCTCCCTCATTCATTGTGTTTGTCAGGAACCACTGTATCAAGCATGCCTTCTCTTAGGATGGTTAGCTTGCCTTTCTATATCCAGTACTACCTCCAGGATAACTACTGTTGTGAATAACACAGAGCAGATATTACAGTGCTTAAAAGAAAGTAAAATCAAGACCTGATCTGTCATGCTGGGTAGCCACCACTGGTTGGGATAAAAGATGGAGAGCCTCTCCAAATAATAATCAGAAGAAGTGGTAATAATTTCTAGATGATTCACCTGTATGTAGCGCTCAAAAAGAGAGTAAAAGACAGCAAAGAAGAGCTGAGATATTTTGTGATATTTTTAGCCCATTCATTCAAATGAAGGGAATAGCAGGGACACTTTCCTTATCTTGGCTATTATTTCACTCTGCAAGAGACAGACATTTTTCCAGGTGGGTTTGCAACTCTCTCCTAAAATACAGAGCACAGGAATGCACACCAAAATCAATATTAGATGTGAATTAAGGTTTTATTTTAATTAGTCATTTTCAAAATGTAGGGCATGCAAATGACAGCAAAAAAAAGTCTTTTTACTTTTTTTTTTCCTTTAAGCAGATTATTTTTAGCATGGATGGAAGACTACCAACCTAGACAAAAGTGCTGAACATCACCCAGCACATAAAGAGCCACAGCAAAATGCATAACAAAAGCTATTAAAGGGCTGAGTCAAAATGCATCTAGCTATGAGGAGGAGATAGAGGCACAATACCGTGTAATGATTAGTTAGTTTTACATTTGTCATTCAGGGTTTGTGCACATAATTCCAACCTAAAGGCTTAAGATTTCTTTTCTCTCTCTAGCTGGTTTTCCTCAAATTGCTGCTAAGAATACTTTGGCCTTTTAGAACACTTTTCTTGCCAAGGCTTTCAGAACACTTAACAAATATTAAGGGCTACATTGTGATTTGGACTACATGCCCACGGATGAGAGTGGCAAGGAACAAGCATTGTGATTTGGTGCTGTGTCTCTAAATCACTCTCCCAGACATGAGATCTGCTCCCTGGCTTAGATTTTGTGCCTCAAGTCATATTGTATCCCTAAATTACCTGTCCAAGGTCCTACAATGGATCAGATGAACAGACAGGAATATAAAGCTCTCAAGTCTTAAACTAAACCTACTGTAATAATGAGGTATTAAGGATAAACAGTTCAAAAGTGATCATATGCTCACATTTCAAAAGGTATTTAGAATCCTTCTGATGCAGGAAGGTAGGTAGTAGGATTTACAGAAGTGGCTATGCATATACACAGGATCCATTTAGGTAGTCTGCAAATCCCACTAAGCAAGTATCTGCATGTTTGGACACCGAAGCACCTCTGACTAGCTAGCCCTCATTGACTTATGAATCTAAATCCCCTTTTCAAAAATGATATAGGCACTTATAAGCCAAAGTCTCATTAGCTATCATCAAGACTTAAGGAGTGACTTTCAAAGTCACAAAAGGCATGTATTCACAAAATATCTCAGACACATTTGTCAATGGGATTTGTGTCATTTGTACATTTGGAAACCTTCATCTTAAGTTTCTAATTGCCTAAGTCACTTTTCAAAATAGGATTAGTCGTTTTAGTCACTTAGGGTCAGATTCTATTTAACCCATTAGGTATGTAAGTAGGCTTGAAAATACAGTAATGCAGCTACTTTTGAAACAATTCATAGAATCATAGAAAATGAAGGTTGGAAGGAACCTCAGGAGGTCATCTAGTCCAACCCCCTGCTCAAAGCAGGACCATCCCCAACTAGATCACCCCCACCAACATTCTGTCTACCTGGGTCTTAAAAACCTTCAAGGATGGAGATGCCACAACCTCTCTGGGTAACCCATTACCGTCTTACCCTTAAGACTGAATGACAAAAAGCAGCAAGGAGAGGGACACATTCTCCCTTTATGTTAACAGTTTTTCAGGGACTCAAGCCCCTACATGCATGCCCCCTGCTGGACAGGAACATAATCACACATAGACACCTACATCTGCTTATACACCTCATAGATGGAATAAAATTTGGTCCTAAATGTCCTAACCATGTATCAGGCTTGCTCCAAGTTATGAAACACATTTCAGTTTGTGGGCATTAACTTCAAATATTTTTTAAAACATTCCTGTATTAGAACAGGTTTTTGGTGCATGAAATGCCAGTTAGCTAAAAATAACACTTTGAAAAGGCCATTATGGCTGCTTAGAGAATCTAGGATTACCCCACAGTGAGCTCGTCTACATGAGACGTGACTGTGCAGTGGTTACTGCACATTTATTTAGTACTTGTATAATCAAGTACTAAATAAATGTACAGAAACTGGAGTTACTGTGTAGTAGCACCAGTGAACTTTTTAGTGATGCTACTGCGCAGTAGCCTAATAATGCTATGCAGTAGTGTATTAGCACTGTTTGTCCCTCTCAGTGTACTAGCACTGTACATCTGAGCTTTAAACTTGCTTTTCAGAGGCTTGTGTCAGGATTGAGAATGACTCAGAAGTTGTAGAAGGAAAGCATTTCTTTCAGCGTTGGTTGAATGAGACTCTCAAAGAGGATGATAAGAGATGGGTATGGTCAGGGCAGATCCAGGGATGATGCGAGGGTATGGATGCCCCCTACTTCTGCCTCTACTGCCCCAGGCTGACCCAGCTGCAGAGGATGCCCCAGAGCCACTCCTGCCCCACACCAGCCATGGGCTGTGGCTTTGCAGGGTGCCAGGCTCAGCAAGGGACAGTGGCAGTGGTGCTTAGGTTACTCCTTTAGCGCATGCTCCCTGCTGCTCCCTTCCACACATGTCCCCTGCTGGCCAGGAGCAGGCACTGGAAGGAGGAACCCACTCACCACTGTTGCTGTCCCTGGTTGCTTCAGGCACAGGGGAACCCCACAGCTGTTCCTGCCCCAGGCTGCAGGGAGGTGCTGTATAGACAGCTAGGCTCAGCTGGAGACAACTACAGCAGCGCAGGTTTCTCTCTCCAGTCCCTACTCCCGGGCTAGCAGAGGACACTGGGAGTGGCAGGGAACAGACACTGGAAGGAGAGACCTGCATGCTGCCACTGCTGTCCCTTGCTGAAGTGTGCACCTAGTACTGCTGCAGCCTATGGCTGCAGTGCAGCAGGAGCAGCTTTGGGATTCCCCTCATGCCTGGATCCACTGGGGACTACAGCAGTGGTGTGTGTGGAGGGAGGGGTGGACTCCCCCCAGCTCCCTGGTTTTTTCCACCAATCTGGGGGTTCCAGCCACACCTAGTTCTTATGTTCTCATGGTTTGAGGGGCAATGTTCCACACCAGCGTTTACTAAATCCTGGATTTTCCCATGGACCTAGTGAACACTTGTGGGGGGTTTCCATTGCTGGAAAGTGCCTCCAATATGGCTTGGCTAAAGAAAGCAGTAGGGGATTCTGGAGAGCAGATCTGCTCATGAAGAATCTTGAAACCAGTGGGCATGTCTACACATATTAATGTAACTCAATAAATGCCAGCACAGTTTGTGCGGGAGTTTATTGCTCCCATGCACAGTGTTTACATGTGTGCCTGGGACTGCAGTACATAGACCTGGGGTGGTGCAACCCCAGCTAGCAGAGGGCCAGGGGGGTTAGCCTGCCAGCTCAGAACTGCTCCCCCACCAGCTCAAGGGTGCTCCAGGTAGCATCCTCATGCCCCAGACAGCCTTGGTTACTGTCTACATGTGCATTGTGGCAGAATAAATAACTCCACCATAGGATAGTATTTGTATCAGGCAGTACTATGGCATAGTTAATTAGTTTACTTTGGCCTACTAGGGGCACATGTGTAGATGATGACAATTTACTGCAAAAATAATTAGTCAACTCTGCAGTAAAGTGTCTCTAGTAGATGCCCCCAGTGTGAGTACTGGGGACAGGATCCTAGAGGGCAGGGCTTTATGTAGCTGGAAATAAAGTCACCATGGAAAACAGTGGGTCAAAGCTAGGGGGGATTCTGGGATGTGGGGCAATAGGGCCCATGACATTGGCAAGCCTGTCTACCAATGGCTTCATGTGGTATTTAGTTGTAGCAAAAAGGCTACTTGCAAGGACATAATGGCAAGTCGGGGGCAGCCATTGCTCAAAGCTGTGCTTCAGTCCCTCCTCCCTAGATAGTGAGAGGGAATGCATAGACTACAGTACCTCTGTGGAAGGCCCATGGTGCTTTCTTGTCTTTTCCCAGCCACTGTATGCACCCCTCACCTCTGGGATGATTTATCCCCCCTGGATGCACATATTGCCTTTGCTCTTCCAACCCCATGCACTCAGCTGTGTAAGGGCCCATATTTAACATGATTAAGCATTTCCTAAGCTAGAGAGCTTGCTGCAGAATTTAACTCTGTATTATGAAATCAAAAATCAGAGCTGGAGCTATGGTTGGGTTACTGGCAGCCCTTACCCATATCGGTCTTCAACCCAGGGAGCAGTTTCAACACAACTGGTTTTGCATAAATATCTGATGAGAGTTTTTAGGTAATACATTTTCTCCTGACACTTTCCCCATAATTTTAGTGCTCAAGCAAACACACCATAAGCGGAGTCTTTTACCTCATGTTCTCCTTCCTGTGAACTGTCACATACATTTCATAAACTCTCCCCTGGGGAACGGCTCCTGCAGGGATCAGCAGACTTACTCCTGCAGAACAGAAGATACACAAATAAAATAAAACAGAGGAAGAAAGGAAACCAGCCCTGTGCACAAGAATGACAGGAGATTTTGACGATGAAGCCCCACATGCCAGGTTTTCACCCAACTCTCAAGGAGAAAGGGAATATTTACTGCCAATCTGGCTTCTGTACCTGTCAGCTGATTGGCTGCTGCTGCTGCCTCCTTTGAGTCTGTCCTGACTTATCAGAATGGAGAAATGGATATTTCTTCCCCCCTCTCTTGTTTTATTTTAGGAACAGACAGATGGTTACTCTGCTGCTTACCTTGTAAAATGAGGGGAAAAGCAACCATTGCATCTAAAATTTCAGACAGCTGTAATGGGACAGCTACCCCCAGGCATTGCTTATTTAATTAAAAAGGAAAGAGAGATAGTGGAATACTGTCCCAGGGAGCAACAAGAGCCATTTATTTCTGGGAGGGCCTGGTTAGGTGGTCAGTAACCTATGATCAGATGTACCTCACTTCTAAATTACCAATAATTATGACAAAATTGGGTTATTTCACAACCTCTCCATGACCAATATAGAAGAGTAATCTAGAATTCCAATATCCAGTTTTCCTTGGCAGGTCAAATAAGCACTGTACGATGCTTTACTTAGTGGCAGTCAGCTTGGAGTTTAATTAGAACTCACTGTACTTCTGTGATTGCTGTTTCATACAGTTAGTGACTGACCTGCCAGGTAACAGATAGAGTGATCTTCCAAGCTTTTATGACCAAAACAATGGGACAGAAAACTCAGCAGGCTGTGCAGCTGGACAGCTGTGGATCAGCTGTCACTGCAGAACAGGAACAATCAGAAAATAAAGGCAGGGATTTTAATTCCTCCTACATAAATTTATAATGTGGCAGCTGAAGCAAAATCTGCATGTGTGAGTGTACATGTGTGCATGTGTAAAGCAAGTACCTTACAAAACGTTGCCGGACAGGCTGTCCTTTCTTGTAAGTATGTGAACGGCTGGGGACCTTGGTATCTGAAAGACTCTCTCTCCCCATGCAGTACATATCCAGCTGTTATCAGTGGATGTGTTTGACCTGCAGCTCCAGATTCTTGTTCTGAATGGGAGGGAGCAGCTGACAGGGTATGTTTAATGAATGCCTTTGATTCCTGAACTTATTTCTCACAGGATTAGTTACAGGACAGATACATTAAGTTTTTGGATATGTGGCCTAACCCATGGATTTTTTCGTATATATAGGGAGGGGTGTAGAGTAAATGAGGGATTTTAATTATAGTTAATCGGAAGGGATATATTACTGAAAGCTGAATGGGCAGATCATTATAGAGTTTTATTGCTGATGGATGCAGTTGACACTGCTTGTTTTAATTATCTTTAAAATGACCATAACAACAGATGAGCGTTTCCCCCTCCAAACTGATGCTAATATACATGATTTAAATGTAACTAACAGATTTTGCAGTGAGTGTCAGTACAAATTAACTGGAGAATGACTATCCATTTAGATCTTTAGCCAGAGAAGCACAAACATCTGATCCTACAGTGCATATTTTCAACAAAACTCAGCAAATTACAACCATGGTCAGAACTCCCCCCCACACCTCCCTCCAAAGCTCAACTCTCATTGGGACTCTAAGATTAAATGGTTAGATTTTCAAAATAGTTCCACACTCCATAGCTCCCGCTGAGAAGGGTAGGAATGTGTAGGGCCAGATTTCTTGAAAGTCTGACCACTTAAATTAGTGTTTACACAGGAACAGGGCTTTTTAAAAAAAACAAAAACGAAAGAAAAACCCTGCTCCCAGTTGCAAGTGCTAGCCCCTCTAAAAAACCTGCCTGAATGCATGCAAGCAGGCTTAAACATCAGCACTCTTCTCAGTGGGCCATCACTAGAATTTGGTTAACTGGAAATTTCAATTAACTGGAGGTTTAGCTAACTGGGGTTCTACCACAGCAGAACAACAGCATAACAGTTTCCCAGTCTATAAAACTGGTCTTTGTTGATTTGTTGGTTTTTCCTCCCCTTTCCTAACTTGTGTAGTAAGGAAAAATATACAGTAAAGAACAGAATGGGGAAAAGGTGCGCCTCTGCCCTGCCTTCCTTTGCAGGAAAACCAGGTCAGAGAAATTATTTGTTCACCTGCAGGAAATTAATATTCTGCTATCTTTCCTCAGCACTGTGCAGTCTGCAGCAAATTGGAACTGGAACAACTGATTTGTTTTCTAATTAATTTGTCCTTTATATGTGTGATGACAACAGTGAGGTTTTCTGCCTTGAAGTTGCTTTTTTGGAGCTGTATGAAAGGAAAGGTCAAGGGTGTCGAATCCCACTGTGCACAGGAAAGTTCTGAGGTCTAATATATCTGAAAGAAGCAGCTCAGAGACTTACAGTTTGCTGTTAAAGAAGGCCAAGACTTTGGGGAAAGGATATATAAAATAGTTGAGTAAACCTGAATGGAGAACAAAAATCCTGTTTACTCTAAACATTGAAAAGGCAGATTCCCAGGAGTGACCTTGTTTTTTTCTGCTTAAAAGAACAGACAGACAGCTTTACTTAAAGTCACCAAACAATTCTCACTTTCAATACCTTGCAAGGCATGTTTAAACCAGCACTTACCTGAATTGGGAACAATCAGGTGACCCCCTAGGGAGTTGAAGGTCCCAAAAGCAGTGCATGATGGGTCTGTTTGTCGAGCAAGGCTCTGGTTCTTCATGTTCAGTGTCTCATTCTCCAGCAGAGACTGAGAAATTTGTGGGGACAGCTTGGATGAGAAGTCAGACAGGTCATCCTGTGGGGTGACTGCGCCTGAGGTATTATAGACCTTGATCTTCAGATTAGGCAGTGGATCAAGGATTGGAGAATTGGTCATGGGAATTTTATCAGAGACATCGTGTAAAGCGTAGACAGGACCTCTGTACATGGCTGCAGCAGATGTGAGGTCTGGTGGCACTGCCAGGAGGTCTGTGTTCAAAATGAAAAGGAATAACAACAGAAAGTATTATGTATGGCTACATTCCTCTCACTCCTTCAGGTGAAGAATAAACTTTACTGTACTTCTCATGCCTTCATATTTAAGGGTCTGATGGACAAAGTCCTCCCAGACTGACCTGCATCTGCTTTTCCATCCATCCATCCATCCATCCATCCATCCATTCAGCCAGCCATTTCTAGGAGTATATGTAGCCCTGTGACTATGGAATATACCTTTATGCAAATTAAAGAACATTCTTGCTTTTAAGATTTTAGTCTTGTATTCTTTTTCAGCCAGCATTCAGTCAGACTCCAATGTGAAATGCCCAGCCTCCAAATAAGAGACGAGATAAGAAATATGTGCCGCTGCTGGTTGTCCCAGAAAACACAGGTTCCCACTCATGGGGATCTGCCCAGTGGGTGGAACCAGGGGAAAATGTCATTTGATGGAATTGCAGTATTAAAATTTAACTTCATATCCATGCTGGATGTTTCTTGGTTACCATTGGACTATTGCCTTACAATTTGAACAGGATCTGTATTCTTACGCTAGTCTATGTGGTTCTCGATTTTTGGCTCACTCTCATTCTACAGAAGTTTACATTCCTCTGTTTTATGTTCTAGAGTATGTTGCAAAAAGACTAACATGAGTTTTTAGCACTTGGCTATCAGAAACAAATGAGCGTAATCTTTTCTTTATGAAGTGCCAACAAATGCACAATTCATGTAGCTCTGGAAATTATTTCCTTATAATATCTACCTGAGTTGGTCAACATGAAATAAACTGACAACTAACCTTGCCTTGCAGCCTTGATATTAACAGGCTGAAATCCACCATTTAATGCTGAGGAATCTATAATGTCTGACTCAAAGTCACGGTGGTTCTTCCGGTATACAAACAGTGCCACAATCACGGAAATAGCCAGGCACACGAAGACGGCTATCACAATGCCTACATAGAGAGCTACATCATCTGAGTCAGGAGCAGCTGAAAGGAGACAAGAATGAGACACTGAACAACAGTAACTGATTGCAAGAATTTCAAGAGTATACATCCATATTACTATCGTTTCCTTCAAATATTTATTACCTTTTTTATAAGTTAATTTAAAATCCATTTCCAAAGCTATAGAAGAAAGCTGTGCCCTACCTGTGTGAAAATGATCTTATGTTTTTCTCTTATCCATGTTCTTATTCTTTATCTATCTACTTATCTATTTATCTAGTAACTAGGCAGTATACAACCCATTTATAACCAGGCTTCTAAAGTAACTCTAGCCAAAAGACGTAGATACACCATAGCGACTTGTGAAAAATATAATGTTAATTTTGTGTAGTATCTAATAAGAAAAGGGTTTATTTTTTTACTATTAATATGTATTCTTTAAAGAAAAAATAAAACAGACTTTCTGTGAGAATGTCTGACATGCCCTCAATTCATGTGTTTTATTTAGAAACTTCTAAGTGGAATATTCTAAGCAACTACTTTTTCACACAGAGATCATTTACTTCCTTATTTTACACCCCATCCGAAATGAAAAATACAGCACAACAGAATAAAGCAAACCCTAGGATCTTATCACTGGTATGATAATACATTCAGTCAGACAATGGCTGAAACAAATACCATGTATAAAAGCAAAATTCAGCAAGGAGTTCTGTAACTTATGAAAGGAACCAGACTCATTGGAGCTCTCCTGTGGGAACATGACCTGCTATGAGATTTTCACTACCTGCTTGTACCATATCTTCTGCACTTATCCCAGGGTAGTACCTAGTGTCACTATCTACCGAAGGCCTGCATACATGATCAAATTTGATGTGCCCTGTGTGTAGTGATTCCACTATTAAAAGAAGCATATTGAGCAAAGAAACTGCAAACAAATCAGATCTTTTTAATGCCCTGGTTGGTTTATTGTACAGAATGTGAAAGAATTTGCTTTGCTTTTTGCTTTCCCAAGCATAAGCCAGCCTGTCTTCCAGCTGTGCAGGTGAGAGCTGGCACATAGTGAAAAGAACGGAACAAACTCTACAAGCTCTTGGCTACCAGCAATTTAATGCTCCGTCTTCAAAATTTGACTGCTTTTTTCCACTACCTGGTTCTAGGAGAGGTCAGGAAGCAGAACTCTGATTTTCAGTCTAAGATGCTATCCCTCTCTTCCATTTTTTTTCTTTGATTTTATAACTAAATGTTTATAATCATTTCATATTTGACAGTTTTCTAATCTACCACCAACTTGAAAAGGCTTCACCCTTGGATTTCTATCTTCCAAACAGCTCCTCATTCTGTTTTCTTTTGCTCTTTATCCATCAGGACAATTGTGATGCCACATCAGCCCTTTGACAGTGTAACACTGTCACTCCTCCTCTCCTATCAAGAAAGTAGGAAGCTACTCAACTCATTCTCCATATTACACCCATGTTTCCCTATACACATGCAGTAAGGTCAAAGGTAAATCTTAACTCAAGGAACAGTCTAGTGTTACATCAGTTTCCAGGAACATAAAATCAAACATTCAACTTACAAGAAAATCCATATTCATTCTGGGTTCTCTGTTCAGTTGAAATAGGATAAATGAAACCTTAAAAAGAAAGAAATTAAACAAAAATGGCAACAAAATCAAATTAATGAGTGGAACAAAAAAGGAAAGCATGAAAAATGGTTTAATTAAAAAAGAAGGAAAAGAAACCATGGTACTTTAAAATTCAGATTCAGCACAGAATTATGATTTTGCATCTCCTGTCTGCTCTAGAGTCTTACTAAGAATTAATAAGTAGGCAGATTGAATTTCTGAGCCAAAATCGGTCTCGAGTCACTAACTTTGGAGTGCTTAAAGTCTTTCTTTTATTGAGCATAAACTCTAATGGATCTAATTTATTTCAGACATCAAGGGTCATTAGCATATGGAAAGTCTTTTTTCCCTATTCCTACCATATGCTTTAATTCCCAGGACACGTTCAGTAGGGCTCTAAACAGTTTTTTTATTTAATTATCATGGCTTGCTGTTGATCTAATAGAGCTAAAGAAGGCTTGTCGTCATTGGTCAAAGGTTAAATACCCATTTGCTGAGCAGAGCTCTTGCCGAAAACCCTTTTTTAGGATTCCTTTGAAATTATTTTATCCTGCATTTAATAGGAATCCAATAGGAATTCCTCAGGGAGCAAGCAATTTTTCAGTGAACTGGAAACTAAATGGCTCCTATTTGAAATCATTATAAAATCAATAGGACCTCTGAGGTCAGGAGGTTATTTATTTTAAATCTTTGAAGGCATAGTATAATATCAACAAAATCTTAACACGATCTAGTTTTATATCAAAACAGATAAATAACAATAAGTGGTCCATCTGTCCTTCTGTCCTTCCTTCTTTCATCTCCATCAATACTACAATAATTGGCATTTTCCTTTTCCATTTGCTGTCCTTAGTTTGCACCATAACCTATGGATTTGGTAAATACTTTTATTTCTCTTTTTTTCAACGCAGAAAAAAAAAAAGATTTAAGAAGGTGCTAGGCCAGAGTTCTCAAACTTTTTAGACTCAAGGCACTCCTTGTTAAGAATCCAGGCACCTTCCATAAAATACAAGCTCTTATCTTTCACTTGTTTTGTGACTATGGAAGAATAATAGAGCAATTCTTCTGTTGCAAAGAACCCAGATAGAGCATGACAGAGCATAACGTTTTGATGCTGTGGATTCCTATTTGAAATTGCTGGGTTTCTTTTGTGAAGCATGTGCAGGTGATCCTACAATTAACAGTGCTAACAGGGGTTCCATGGCACGCAAGCTGAGAGACAGTGTCCAAAGCTGATTCTTTTGAAGTCAGTCAGGAAAGGTAAATGACACACACCAGACAAAAGTGAACCAGGGCATTTCTAAAACTGGAATTAGAACATATGGATCCTTGTTTCTGGTCCTTTCCTCAGACTGGGCTGCTCTTTACAGACATTCTATGAAAAGTATTTATGCAAACTAACTGCCTGTGACATAAACACCATCTTAACAGAGATAATGGAGACAGGCAAAGCTGTCTTTTGTGATGGAGGTATTTTGCTGTGGCACTATGGGAAAGACAAGTTTACTCATAATGCATATTTAACGCCTTATTTCACAGCAATGATTCCAGCCTTGCATTCCCTTCTATAAATATTATAGTGCTCACTCATTTGTATGCTTCCTTTTGCATCTGCGAATGCAAAAAAGAACGTAAGGAGGAAAGTCAGGGAAGCTACTTCTGAGGGCTTGTGTACATGGGTAGGTTAGTGTGCAAGGAAGATAAGCTGTGAATTTACAGGTCTCCAGCCCTTCTGCAATAACTCCCCACATGAATAATCTTAGTGTTTGCTAAGCCTAGTGTAAAGAAGCCTGAAAATCAGTGACAGTAAGAGCACATTTAGTGGTGATGGCAGCCTTTGTGTGTAAGCCCTCCCTGACCCAGCTGGCCGGGTTGTGTGAGTGCGGCTTGCAGGGGGGCACTGCTGCCTTCACTCCCCATGCCCTGCTCCTGGAAGCAAGCACAGAGACATGCTCCCCCGCCTTCTTGATCTGGCCCCCACCCTGCCCCTTCCCCCAACACAAACTTACCTGCTGGGGGGAGGTGGGTGTATGTGTGTCTGCATCCCTGTGCCTGTGTGTGTCTGTGCCTGCATGTGTGTGTCTGTGTACATTTGTGTGTGCATAATAGAGGAACCCTAGCCTGAGGCAAGTGGTGCAGCAGCAAACAGTTCCACCATGCAATAAACAGACTTCAGAGGTTTGGTGAAAATCAGACTATATCCTAATCTTGCAGGCAGCAGCTAGAGGATGGATTTTGCCTTCTGTGGTATGAGTTCAAAATGACTACAGTGGCATTGTTACATATTTTTTGGAGTCACAGAGGAGGAACTAATCCAAACTCTACTACTTACGGATAAAGATGGGTTCTGGAAACCCAACCATACATTATACTTACAGCATGAAAACTCCCTGAAAACCTTGATACAGGTAACATTACATGGGAACTGAGAAGCTACTCCTCTGGTCACCTTTATATTTCAAGCTGGCAGGTCTCAAGTTCAGAGTTCTCTGTTATCCTATCCTGTTTGATAATATGCAGCAAAAGAGAGCAAGAAGCTGTACTACTTGCATTATTTTAGATGATATTGATAACTTTACCTGTGGTAGGGGAAACATGGACACTTGAATTCAGGTTCTGGCAATGAAGTGATCAAGGGCATGATCTTAAAATAGTCAGTGCCGGATTTACCCACAGTATGACCTCACCAAAGAGCACTACAAAAGCACATATTTACAAGTTCTAACTCCACATACATTGTACTGATAACCTCAGATCTCCTCTGCAAAAGCAACTATGTAAAAATGGCCCCACCCTATTCAACAGATCTATTTTATGTATCTATTCAAAACGATGGGTATTAACTTAAGTGGAAAAATAGCAGCTTTGGCTGTTTATAGGAGTTACATTTTTTTTTAGGTTTAATCCGGACTACAGCTGTCAGTATATATATGTGGACAAATGAATTCTTCTTCTTTGAATGAGGATTAAAATTAATGCAGACTAGGGCAGTCTAAACTAGGCAATTTAAACTGTATTAATTAACATGTATATACAACATTGTTTTTAGGAAAAACAGTACTTAGGAACTCAGACAGTAAGCAATGCAAATATCAATTCCTGCAAGAGAAACTCAACTGGGATTCTGCAACACAACAGAGTCTATCTGGCACAAAGTAACACAGTTACAAAGCCAAATGTGACAACAATGCCTGACTGTGACTACATATCAGCATCTTGACTAAGCCCCCAGCCCTGTCCAAACACATGGGCTACTGGTCTGTGAAGAAGGGGGCAAACCCTTAGTGGTCACCAACACTAAGGTCAGTTGCATCCATTAGGGCTTCTGGAACAGCACTTTAGATAACTGTTAGTAGGTTTGCAACAATGTAGCAGTGCTTAAACAGGCTTATTACAGCCTTCTAATTACTTCTAATCCCAACTGTTTAGCGCATAAGCCCACGCAGAGAGGCTGCGAATGGGGTCTGTTAAGGAGCTGATGGTCAATGATCATTTATTAACCCTTAATTAGAATTTAAATTTGATTTGAACTGTGTGATGCAAATTTGTTAACATGTTTTAGAAAGTGGTGAGCATGTCTATGTTGTGTTAGTCCTGTTAGCCGAAGATAGACAAGATGGTTCTATTCTTTCCTATGGATCGCCAACAGAATTAGTTGCTAAAGTTCAATCTGTTGCATCTGTGCAAATCCAACGTGACTTCTCTGTGTTTTACTAAGGGCATACTGTGGTGTGCAAAATGTTTCCAGTGATAAAGCACAAGCAGGCCCTAATAACACTGATTTCCAAGCCCAGCCTGAGTTTGCAGGACTAACAAGAATGGGTTTGGAGTCTATTTAAAAACAACTAAGCAATCCAGATATATTTGTACTTGTAAATCAAGCACAATTGATCTGGAGTTCATTGAGACATGACAAACATGGAAACCTGCTGTGCCATTTTTAAAGAGTCACTTTTCAGAATAAAACTGAAACAAGCTTTTTTAAAGCTTTTTTCCCCCTTTGCTGCTAATGAAGGCGGAGAATTACAACAGCAGGGTAAGTGGAAGGGTTGAGGACACAATTTGTCAATGGTGGTTCTGGGGATAAACAGTTACTGTTTCCATGTCAACATGACAATGTGGATCAGGGGTTTTCAAACTTTTTAAACAAGGGTACCCCTTCTGCCTCCAAGTTTCAGCTCATGTACTCTTTTATATTTTTTCTTGGTTTTAAAGAGGGGGTGGGGACAGCTCCAGGCCCCTGTGTTGAGGGAGGGAGTGGGGCAGGTGGGGCAGAGGCAGGGGCAGTGGCAGGTGCTGCACAGCCGGGGTGAAGTGTGGGACCGAGCTGTGAGTGCAGTTTGTCTGGGAGGCGCGGGGAGGGGGAGACAGTTCCTACCACTGAGCACACCCAGTGGAGGTGCGGGGGGCAAGTGCCCTGCAGATCTGTGCGTGCTGCTGAAGGTTAGACTCTGCACCCCACTGCACCAAAAGCCACACAATGCCATGTGTCTGCTGCGGCCTGGCAGGCAGGGGACAGACAGATATACACACACACACACACACACACACACACAAATATACACAGACACACACATGCAGGCACAGACACACACAGGCACAAGGATGCAGACACACATACACCCACCTCCCCTCCAGCAAGTAAGTTTGTGTTGGGGGACAGGGCGGGGTGGGGGCCAGATCAAGAATGGGGGGGAAGCATGTCTCTGTGCTTGCTCCCAGGAGCAGGGCCAGGGCCAGGGGAGTAAAGGCAGCAGTGCCCCTCTGCAAGCCGCACTCACACAACCCGGCCAGCTGGGTTGGGCAGGGCTTGCAGAGGGGGCACTGCTGCTATCACCACCACCCATGCCGCCGCTGCTTCATCCTGCGCTGCTTTCTGCACGTGCGACTTTGCGGGCTGCTGACAGGCGGCCTGCGAGGTGCAAGGCAGGTCAGCAGCCCATGGAGCTGCACATGCAACCCACTGCAGGAAAGCAGGATGGGGTGGTGGTGGTGGTGGTCGCTGCATG